GCCTCAGAAACCCAATGAGGGTTGCTGTGAGTCAAGTCTGACTCCACAGCACATAACAACAACAAAGCATTGTAAAGAACTTACCACAGTGCCTGACACAAACGCCCCAACAAATTTTAGATATAGTTTATATTTGTTATCAATTGAACACCTAAGGGAATTTTAGTTACATTTGTTTACCTATTACTTCTATTTTATGCTCAGTCTGGTCAGGACAGAATTCTTTTTTTGTTTTGGGGGTTGGTTGGTTGGTTTTTCCTCTCTCGCCATCTCTTTTCACTCTTCTCAACCTGGGGGAAGTAGATCATGAAACAGCCATCTAAAATGAAGTCCGTTTTGTGTTGGTCCATTGGGAAATGGCTTTGATCACCAGTGAAACCATGGGTGTTTGGCAGGCTGCTGGCTTCTGCCCATGACAGGGGCATCTCTGACAGTTTAGGTAGTTAAACAAAGAGAAGCCAGGGTTGCTTGTGGATTCCTTGAGGGGGTATGTGAATGGCACCTTTGCTCTCCCCCACTGTCCCTGGGGCCACCTGCCCTTCAGGGCCTCCAGTTGACCCAAGGTATCAGGATTCCAAGCTTCTTGTTTTGCTGGGCAGTGAGCCAGCAGGGAGCACTCAGCACAGTGCCCTTAGCACTCCAGCAGCTTATGAGCACAGTGCCTTTCTCTTGCCCTCATTAGAGTTAGCTGTATCCAGCATAAAGAGGAGGGTGAGCAGAGCCTCGGTAAGCAGGTTGGTGTACCTGGGGAGGTGACAGGAGGGCAGGACCTTTTCCTCTGAGCTGGCCCCAATAGCATTTTGTAAATGATTTCTTGGAATTGCCTGCCTGGCCCTGGTGAGATTGGAAGATCACCTTGTGAGTGGGCTGGCTGCCAGCCTGCCAGATGGTTTGGGCTGCTCACAGCTCAGTCACATTATCATCAGGTGTGTTCCCTGAAGGCAAGTGGCCCAGCTAGGAGTGTCAGGGACTCCCACTATCCCACCCTACATCTGCAGGGCTTTTTTTCTGAATAGGAGATGACTGGCTCTCTCTTTCTAACTAAAGCCAATCTCTGGGCCCCAGGATTTTTGGTTCATATCTAGTTTAGTATCTACATGACAGCCCTTTACAGAAATATCATCAGTTGTTTCCATTAAATGAACCAACTACTGCAAAGTTAAAAAGGCCAATAAAATTACAAAGCCTATTTGAGGACTTTATTCAGAAACCCTGTGACCTCAAGGATATTAAGAAAATATTGGACTTTAAAATCTTACGATTTCTCTAGGACCACAGACCTCTTGTCATATGTGTGTGATGTGTGTGTGTGTGTGTGTGTGTGTGTGTGTATGTATGTATAAAGTGTGAGTCCTTTTTATAATAGTCAGAAAATAAATGTATAACGTTTTTTCTCTCTTGCACTCAGCATAAAGCGTGAGGAAACTTAATGTTCCTGGATTCAGCCTGTGGATTTGAGATAAGCATTCAGGGAAAGAAGGCTTTTAACTCAGAACAGAATCTGTTTGCAGCTATTGTTCAATTAATGTAAAGTATCTGGTTACTGGACATGTTGCATAATGCATCACAGAGTAAACCAAGCCTTTTCAGTGCTGACACTGAACTCCTTGATAACAATGAAGAGTGAGGTAATTTGATATTTTTCTTAGAAGTCCCCTAAAACAATTCTTCTGAAGACTGAATAAATTGACCTTTTAGAGCTGAGATGCTGCTGAGGACCTTCTGGATGTGTTTGTGATGGTAAGAAATCTAGAAGGAAACTAGGAAAACCATACGTCATGCCCTCTTTAGGAGCCAGAAAAGCTGTCAGAAGAGTTAAGATTAAACCTCATGAGAGTCTGTGGGTGTGGAAAAGTCACCAGCTAGCTAATATTAACATAGCTTGCAACAGAACGCGGTTGCTAGAAATAGGACAGCAGCATCACTACCACTAAGCAATTTGCATTCGGTGGACCAACCCCTAAATTCCTCCTGGCTTCTATTGCCCTCTGGGCTTGCATTACAGTACACTTCTAGCCAGTGTTCCTGCTTGGCTCTCTGGTTTCACCAGGAACTCTACGCAAAGGAGGAAGCAGTAAGGAAAAGGAGAACATCTGCTTTGTTTGCAGGGAAGTGGGTGAGCTACAAGCAAACCTTTAGGCTACTGAGGAATTGCAGTTTCTAAATTTCACATGGTTGCTGACAGGGAGAGGCAGACCAGAACCTCTTGGCTTCTTCACTATGGATACTCTGTTGCCTCAGTCTAGATTTGCTTATTTCAAAAAATATCCTTTCCATGCAATTAGGAAGTACTTAACACTGAGAAACCAAAGAACCGAAGAACAGGTACCATTCTCTTTATATTGTCTTTAGAGTTAATAAGTGCTTGCTTCTGGGTGTTGGTCTTTTGTTGTTTAGTGATTTAGTGTCTGCTATTTACAGCCTTGAAAACTGATCAGGCAGCTCTACTCTGTGTTACAGGGTCCTTATGAGTCGGAATTGACTCAATGGCAGTCGGTTTTGCATTGTGTTTATAGGCACCGGTCAGCTGCTGCTTGTGGCTGTTCAGACTTGGCAATCAGAAGAGCAAGCAGGCTTGTGAGGATTTATTTAAATTTGGAACATTTGGATCCTGAGATTAAGCTGAAGTTCTGTAAGGAGCCATGTGCTTTTCTTTCTTCTGAGTAGCTAGACTGAACGACTCCGTCAGACTTATATTTTGAGACTTCTTGATGATTTTCTATTGCTTCAAATACAAATTTTGAAACTATTAATATGTTGGTATCTAACAAATATCTCACAAAGTTCTGGTGGTGCTGTGGTTAAAACATTGGGCTGCAATCTAAAAGGTCGGTGGCCATCAGTCACTCTGTGGGAGATTGATGAGGAAGTCTGCTTCCTTAAAGATTTACAGCCTTGGAATGCCTATAGGGTAATTCTACTCTGTTGTGTAGGGTCACTATGAATCAAAATAGACAGGATCTTTGGAATATCTTTGGAATAGATCTATCTATCTATCTATATCTTTGTCAAGATCTTGACAAAGATATAGATAGATAGATAGATATGAAGCCCTAGAAGAATGTTTATCTTCTTGTATGTATTTATGATTATGCTAATATCATCAGGATTTGTGAAACAAAAAACTTAAAAAAAATCTATAATAGCCTTAAATAGATCATTAATGAGCTGTGAAGATCATGCAGAGGTAACTAGTCGTTTTGGTTTTTTGGTGGAGGGTTGAAAGTAGAACATTGCAAGCTTCAGTCTTTTCAGCCAATCAAAAGTTAGCATTTCTAGTCCCTGGTTCTCTCCTGTGGGAGCATAAGCATTTAAAAAAACTATTAAAATATCTGATTACTTCTCATTTAAAATCATGCATTCATCTTATTGCTTGAGATATATATCATCCCATCCCTTACAATCTATGGAAAAAGTATTTATACAAAAGGCTTTTATGAATTGTACCAACTTGTTAGAAGATATGGTAATATGAGCTCTGGTAGCATAGTGGCTAAGACACTTGCCTGCTAACCAGACGGCTGGCGGTTCAAACCCACC